CAACCCCTCCAGCGATGTCACTGACTGATCACATGTGTGTTTCATGCAGGTGAGGTACTGCCTGAAGTCTCTGAGGGAGCAGATGGCGTCTAAAAACAAGGTAACGTCAGCGTCTGTTAACCCCACTTCCTGTTTGCTTCGTTGCCACGTCCGTCTCTCGCCATCCTGACATCCTCCTTTTCTCTCTTCAGCCGCACACAAACGGGTGGAAGGTCAGCATTCCCTTCAGAAAGAACGGCTCGTCCGCTCCCAAAGGCGGATCCAAAACCGACGGGCAGGTGAGCAGCCTCTGACGCGAAGTAACCGTGTTCTTGTTGTTGTTTAGAACAAACAACAACAAGCCCGAGGCCTCCAGTGTGCCGGATCATGTCCAAAATGCATGTCACACTCCTTGTTTTGTTCTGATCCCAAGAGAAGCTCCTCCCAGAGCCGAGACAAGCAGGTGCGTGAGCAAACAGAGTAGATTACAACACCAGAGAGAGTAAATACTCTGATTACCCCCCAGGAACTACACATGAGAACGCTGTTCCAGCACACTCTGTCCCTCCCCCTCCCGCCCCGTTCCACTTCTAATAGCCCTGTTGACTTCCACCCATGCTTTTCATACGTCCACACCTGTATGCATGCCATCAGCGTTCTGTACAACCGCGAGAATGCTGACAAACATTTCTCTGGGCCAAGTGTTGTAGCGTCTCTGACAAACCCTCATGTACGCGCTGCAGAAGCAGGCGGGAACCGCTGATCACGAGCTAACGCTCCTCTGACGCACACAGACGCGCCTGCTGTCACGCCAAACCCACAGCACGGATGAAACTAAACGTTTATTTATGACATCGTCGTGAAAGGATCTAATCCAACAGCTTGTTTTGTCTCTGCAGGACGCAGACGATGAAGCAGAGAGAGACAAGCTGAGAGAGGTCAGCAAGCGTTTGTATGCACAGCTGCACGAGGCGGAGAGGAAGCACCAGGAGGAGAGGGAGAGGCTGCAGGTGAGACCTGGCAAAGTTATTAAGGCAGCCGTGGCGTGGAAGTTCAGCTCTGAACGAGCCGATCGCCGTGTCTCCTCCAGGCTGAAGGCAGCAGGCTCAGGGAGCGTCTGAGCGATAGGGAGGAGAAGTTACGGACCACGGAAGAGGCCGGCGAGAGGAAGGACAAACGCATCGAGGAGCTGCAGAGGCTGCTGGGAGGGATGGAGCAGGAGAGCGCCACCCTGAGAGAAACCATCCGAAACCGCGAGGACGAGCTGCACGAGCTGAGGAGGATCAGAGAGGAGGGTCACACGGGGCAGCAGAGGTCCGCTGACAAACGTAACGCCATGAAAGGCCTTCTTTAGGAGTCGTCAGGCTGTAACCGTCTGTGTTTCTGTCTCAGAGCTGGACAGCTGGAGACGGAGGTGGCCATTCTCAAAGAGAAGATCCACCATCTGGACGACATGCTGAAAAGCCAGCAGAGGAAAGTCCGACACATGATCGAGCAGGTGAGGCGCTAGCACGTGTGCCGGACTCCAAGCTTCTCCTCGGGGCTTCAGGGCTCGCTCACCATTCCCATCGTGTCTGCTCACCTTTCAGCTCCAGAACTCCCGCATGGTGATCCAGGAGCGCGACCGCGTGATCAAGGAGCTGGAGGAGAAGGTGGCGTTCCTGGAGGCTGAGGTGAGGCTCTCCTCTTTCCAGAACGCTCCAGAAGTTAAGCCGAACAGAAAGGAGAGACACAAAATGACCTGTAAAACATTTCTGTGGCAGAATCGAGAGATGCGTGACCAGATGGACTACTACCTGGGAGGGCAAAGGTCAAGCTCCTACCTGTCGGAGCGCAACGCCCAGATTGTTTACAGGTAGTCGTATTTATTCATCCTCCGCAAAATGCTGACGCTTCTTCTCTCAAACCTCCAACTTATCCGACCGGCACTCTACTTAATACTTTCTAAATAAAACCCGACCTCTCCTCCGGCTGCAACAGCAAACCGCTCAAGCCGTCCAGCTCCTCCAACAAGCCACTTCCTTACATCAAAGTCATCGAGATCAAGTCATGAGGGAGCCGCTCGGAGGCGCCGGAGACGCAGAACCATTCCGACAGCAGCTCCCAGATCCGAGCTGAGCCTTCCTACAACTTTCACTGCTCATCTGGAGAGTCTGAAGCGAGCCCGCTCTTGCAGGAAGCACGACTGTGTGTGTGTGTGTGTGTGTGTGTGTGTGTGTGTGAGGGGGGGGGGGGGGGGGGGGGTCCTTACGGTAGATATGTACTAGTGTGCTTTCATGTCTGACTCGTAATTCTGCCAGTTTCTCCTTGTTCTGATCTGTTGATGATGTCATAGTAACCGTTGCACCAAGGCTACTGACGTAGCATCAGAATGCTGTTGCTGTTGCTGACCTCCCCGTCGGGACAGGTCGCGACTCCATTACTGTGTCCTGGTTCTGGTCGGGCACTCGGCATTAACGGAGCGGGATGTCATTAATTATAATAATTAGGATTTAATGAAAGCGTCCTCTGATCCTGTGATAATGACTCGTTGTGAAACTGTGAGGAAGCAGAAGGAAAGCTTACATTTCACTTTACTGTAAATAAGATTCATGAATGTGATCGGATGTTTGAGTTTCTAACAACCCTGTCCTTTGTATTTATTTATAATAATATTAACAATGATAATAATTAAAGCCTACTGACTGTTTGGTAGAACAACTTTTTGTATGAAGTACATTTTGACCTGTTTTCTGTGGATTTTCAGAATAAAAGCTTAAAATATTTCATGTTTTTTTGCTGCTACCTTTTCCTTTCTACCAGTGAAAAACAAAAGGCTGCACATCCAGACTGGGTTGTAATGAGGAGAGCGCCCTCTGCTGGACACATGACTGAATTTAAGATATTTATGACTTTATTTGTCTTAAAGGGACAGTTTGCTTTAATCTGTTTAAGATCATGCGTGGTTTCTGAGTGGCGTCACTCCAGAACCAGCTGTTCTCTGTGTGATGATACAGATGTTTGTTTTTAAGGTGGACATGAAGATACGCTGATGAAGGATCTCAAATGTCCCAGGCTTGGTTTAAAACCTTTGGGAGTTAGGGTTAACCCGAACCTAAAACAGCTGTTAGTTCTTCTCAGAGTCTCTTTTAAAAGTAACTGGACTTATTTTCTTGCTTCTAGAAAACATTTTAAATCCCTGTGGATGAAACCTTTTGTTACGAACCTCCTAAGACTGGTACGTCCTGTCCTACAGACTCCCCACCAACATCCAGCTAACTCTGTTTAAACCTTCTAATTCTAAATAATGTGAAAGTGAAATATGAACAGTGATGCCTGGCTGACACATTTCCTGTTTCCTAGGGAACCCCTTAAAGGACATTAAAGAAGAAAAATGTTCCCAATACGCCCAGGAAACCTTTCTGAACACGCCAATCAACCCTCACATCTGCAAAACAAAAAACAAGTTAGATGCAGCTAAACTCTACTGTAGAAAACAGGTGCACAAGAGCAAATACACTAAATTCATCTGATGATGCTATCCCCAACTCAAGGCAGTTCAGGGAACTTTATCAATGTACGGAGTCCCTGAGGGGACAAAACACGCAAAGATTGGTTTTACGACACAAAACATGAACTATGTTTGTACAGTCTTAACGTTTCTGTTGCATTATGATTGATATTCATGTTTAAGAATAAAATCAAAGGAAGAGCAAACTACATGGTATACTACTATACCATATACTTAGGGATGCAACGATACCACTTTTTTCCAAACCGATACCGATACCAATACTTCTACCACACAAAAAAATGCAATGATTTGGAATACAGATTTAATTTTCTTCTCTGCTTTCAACAGGAAAAGACTGTGAGGTAGATAACAAGCAGTGGCGGCTGGCCAGTAGAGGGCGATAGGGCGCCGCCTTCCCAGTTTCCCCAGTGTTTTTAATTTTTATTTAAAAATTTTTTTTACAATATTCACATATTCTAAGTTAATTGTGTGTTTTGTAACAAAAATAAATCATATATATATATTTCTATATTGGTCTCTGTCGAGCTCTGCCGAGCGGTGGAGGCTGTGTGCTGTTTTTCAATGCCCAAACGGGACGAGACCAGTCGTCCAATTGCTGACAAGAAAATCAAAGGGTAGGAATGGGAATGTATCCAATCAGCGTCGACGTTGTTTCAGAAGCATGACGGTCGATAGAGCTACCGCCAAAGGCTTTCGTTAGTGCTCGGTAGAACTCGGAGATTCTCGACTCCAGCACGTTTTTGGTCGTGGCTCGTGACGCAGACGTAATAGACATGGACGCCAGTGCGCCTACAACCAGCAGCAGCATGGATACCGGATCTCAGCAGCCACTGAATTCCGTTCGGTCTCTTCTCCAGTATCCGTTCGAGAGGAGAACTATGGTGGAAAAACTTAATGTCAAAGAGCTTGGACCAGATCAGCCCGACGTAAAGATAAGCCAGCAGGAGGAGGAGAGAGGTAAACTGTACATATGAGGCTTCTGGGAAGGCTTGGCTAGCTGGATGCAATCATGCTAATGCGTTATTTTGCTTTTCGTGTTTGTTATTCAGAACGACTGTGACAGATGAGGCATGGGTTGAGTCAGGAGTTACGGACATGAAACATTTTTCTGAGAAGGTGAAGAAACACGAGTTATCCCGGGCGCACATGGACAACACGGTGAAGCTAGCTATGCTAGGCAGAGCTAACATTGCCATGCAGCTAGAGACGAGGGACGCAGGCTTGCAGTGAAGAAACACAATGAAGAAGTGGATCAGAACCGGCACATTTTGTCCGAGAGAGATGTCAACACAGTGTATGAGCACAACGATGACCTCCTGATGTTTCCAGATGATCAGAGACTCGGATGACTTTGATCCAGTCACTGAGAGAGGCTGGAGGCTTTATGAGAATGCTGGAGGAAGAAGATTTCGGCTTTCTGCTGGCATTGTGTCACAAGATCATGCCACATGTGGACATGCTGTTCAACCAGCTGCAGAAGAGGAACATTGACTCTGTCTCCATCACAGGGTCATCCAGAGCTTCACCAACAGCATGCAAAAGATCAGGTACATACTTGTTTATTTAATATTATTGTGATGAAATTCTCCAGTATGTTAGTTTCACAAACAGTAATGTGGATGTGGACCATATATAATCATGTTATTTTATGTGCAATTTAATGCAGTATTTTTCAACCTTGGTCCGCAAGGTAGTGTGCCAATAGTCAGACACACCTGGATTAATCCCTTTGTCCAATGATGTAAGACAGAAAATAAAAGAGCTGTGCTTAATTCACGAAATAATGAAGTTGTGCACAAAGCTCAGAAAGCACAAGTTTGTTTAAAAAAAATATATCACAGCCCCACCAAAAATATTTTTCACCAGCCGCCACTGATAACAAGTAAAATATATGAATAGAAATCATCACAAAACTAAAATATTAGGTGAACAGAAATGACAAGTTACAGCGAAGCCATTTTCAAGCAACTGCATTGGTATCGGTTAACTTTTACCGATACCAGTATCGTATTGGTATCTGATACTGGTATCAGTATTGGTGCATCCCTACTATATATGGTTGGAACCATAGACATGAATACATCCCATTGGGCGCTGGAGAGCGTAACAGCATCGACACCATATTGGATGGGTTCCCCACTCTCCAAACCCATGGAGCAACTAGGCCCGTGTTTGTGTGGCCTGTGGTTGCAACAGCTATTGAAAGCAGATTAAGTGGGATTACTTTGGGGTATCGTCGCCTACCTGTTGGGATTTTATATTCTATTTATACTTTAACTATCATGATGTCTTATTTTGTGAAAATGCATAGCAAAATGTTTTCCTCAGCAGAAATAAATGCACCAGGAGTGAATGAAGACCCACCCAAGATGGTGGCCCACTGCTGCACCAGCTCCAATAGGCACATCTTATTTACGTATATGATGTCTGTGGTTGGGTCCATTCAGTGAATGAATACAGCGGACAGGAACACAGTTAAACGTCTCACTTCCTGTTGTCAACTAGGAAAGCTGGAAAATGAGAATCTGGTGCAAAAGTGTCATTGATCCGACTTCCTCTGAGACTGACTCATTCCATGCAAATCCAGATGTTTCAGCCTTTATTTGTTGTAGTTGTGATGATTATGGCTTACAGCTGATGAAAAGCCTACGTTCAAAATCTCAGTTAGGTTGCAGACTCTAGAAAAGGGACGTCACATAAAAGCAAATTTAATCGTTTTTATTATATTTTCTATACCGGAGTTCCTCGAGGGCTTGGTGCGCTCCAGATGTGCTCTTAGATCTTTTTAACAGAGCTCGGAGGCTTTAATGTATGCTGATTAAAACTTTTTCATGGTTTTTGTGTGGAAAAACTAGATTTCTTTTTATTTCCACATTTCTTCTCCTGCAGTTTTTCCCACTGAATTTCCTTTAGAACTGAGAAACGCGTCCCTGAATAATTCAAACAAACACATTTAGGACTTTTTAGTTCTGAGTGATGGAGCTTATAGGAGCATCTCACAACTGGGCTGCAAGGCAGTTTTACACAGACGGCAGCGTGTACAGCAAAGCACCTCAATAATGAAAATATAAAGACTTTTAGGCACTAAAATCCCAAAACCCTACCAAAGAAAGGAACCGCTGGGCGGTGTGTGTAAGACTAGAGAACAGGTGTCCCCCTGAGGAAAGCCCTCACATCTAAAGCACAACAATAAGCTAGATGGCCGTTAACATTGCACTGAATGAAGGCGTCAAATAAAGAGGCACTTTAGTAATCACAGTTCATAAACACTAGCATGGCTTCCGTAACAAAAGGCTTCAAAACATAAAAAACTAGAAATCTAAAAAGGTAAACAGTGTTGGCTCAAACACCATCAGCTGATCGTATATAAACTCTGTTCAACACGTCTGCATAGAAATTGGTAAATACTGATTGTCTGACATGGTTGCATAGCCCCGACAGCCGTTAGTGTTTAGGTCAAACCCACCTTGGTTGGTTTTTCTACCCCAACAGACAACAGAGCACTCATACATGCATGAATACAGGACAGCAGCCCGCTGTGGGCAGTAGGCAGTGTTTCGTTCCTCTACTATACTACTACTCATGTAGGCACCGCGGTCGTTTCAGGACGAGCTGTCCAGAGAGTTGTAGTTGTCTTTGAAGCTCTTCAGCTCCAGGAAGTGCCGAGGCCTCTTGCTGCGCTGCTGCAGCGTGGACGTGAGGTAGGAGGTTTGGGCGGGGGCAGGGGAGTCGGCGGGTTCAGCGGTACCGGTCAGGTCTTTGGCTGCAGCCTGGTGCTGCTGACTCGGTGTGTTGCTTTGGGACTTCACCCTGAACACACACACACAAACACACACACACACACACATGAACGAACACACACACACACACACACACACACACATTGTTCTAAATGCAAAGTAAACATTCAGAGTTGATGAAAGGTAGTATGGTAGAGGAAGGTTTGTTTTCTTACACGGAGGCCAGCTCACTTAGAGCTTCCAGGTATTTTACAAACTCCGCTTCACCAAAAGCCTGAGGACAAAAAGGAGGCGCGACATCAGAAAAAACTGAATCCAGACTGTTCAAACATCCCTCCCGTAAATCCTAAACTCCTAAATTTCAGCTTTCAATAAAGGTGTCCTCCTTGGTCATCCCCCATGTAGTCCACTTTGGTGTGACCTGATGTTCCTTGAGTCCACCTTGAATCTCTTTAGACGTTTCTCTTAGATTTTTCATGAATGTTCCTCCTGCAGCCACATCCAGGGAGGTTGGATGCAGTCCCGTGGATCTGAAATGTCTGAATAACAAGTGCAGCTGTGGCCACAGGAACATCTAGCTGCTTGGAGACGGTACCTTTAACATGCATGCTGGTACCTGGAGCCTATATAAAGGCCCACTGACTGATTACAAGACTGAAGACACCCGTGATGCTGGGTGATGGACACACCTTAAATAAAGGCGTCCCTTTGGTCACATCATCTTCAGTCTTTTCTAGGGGCACCATCATTTCTGTCCAGGCTGTTCTATGAGTTTATTTTTTTAATAATTCTGTTGAAGGTTGACTTTCATTGGTTAAAATTTATAGAATTTTTCTTATTACTTTTGTCAGATTCAAGTTATTTCCGACCATCGTGGTATTTTCTTTCATTAACCAAAGTGTACAAACATTTTTTTCCACGTGTGTGTGTGTGTGTGGTGTGTGTGTGTGTGTATAATAATAATAATAATAATAATGTCCATTTCTATTGTTTGACTTTCTGCCTCGTTATTTTAATTTAAAAAGTGGCTTAGGGGACAAATTGTCTTGTATGATTAAAATGAGATTAATCAAGATTACGGTAATTAATTACAAAGCCTCCAATTAATTAATCCCCCCCCCCCCCAAGTAAACTCAGATCGTAATTGGGATTAAAATTCGATTAAGTGAGCCGTCCTACTGTAGAGATAAGGAGACGTGGATGTGGGACTATGAACAGAGACAATGGGGTTTACACATGGGACTGCATCAGCGGAGAGGGGAGAGCGGACCGGCCCGTGGATAAACGGAGTAGGAAGTGACGCCACCAGCAGCGTCAGCTCTGAGGATGTTTGCAGCCGCAAACGAAACGTCAGCAAGGTAAAGAGAAAACATTTCTGTGTTTTAAAAAACAACCAACAATGCAGTTGGAAAAGCAACACAGCAAGAACGTACCAAAGACATATAAAGGCGGTGTCGGTGCAGGATCGGCTCGGGTGCAGAATCGGCTCGGGGTCCTTCGACTGCCGATGACGTCAAAGTAGTTGATTGGCTGAACATGAAGCTTACGGAAGTGACGTAATCACGTTATGATTTTGATTGGTCAGAACAAATTTGCGGTCGCGGTCTTAGCGGTTGTAGTCCTGTAGTCCAAAAATCAGCACTTTTTGGAGAAAATATGTTTGAATTTCTAAAGGAAATGTAAAATATAAGCAAATGATGAACGGTGACCCTCAAAAGCTCTTGATGTTGATGAAATGGGGCAAAATAAAATATAAGAACTTTATTGAACGACACCAAGCAACATTTTAAGTCAAAGAATGTATTTAGATCAGTGGTTCCCAACCTTTTTCCCAAGGGACCCCTTTTTTACCTGTAAAATTTACAAATACAGTTCAAACAGTATTAAGAAATGATAAAATTGTTCAAGCACATTTTAATATGCTTTGATTCAATAGATAACAGTAATAGTAGGCTCCAGTACAGAACAAAGTCATTAACAAAACCAAACAGAGCATAATGTGCTTGACAGGTTGTATTGCTTTTCTGAACACATTGTTTCCTGTAAACACCGATAAATCAATCATTCCTTTCAATAAACGTTTGACACATAAAAAATACACTCAGCAAAATGTACTTAAACGTGTATATTACTGTTTATACTAGATTATTTACTGTAAAGGCTGTGATTAATCAACCAGTCCTATCTTTAATGAACTTTTGACACTTGAAAATAAAACAGCGAGCTGAGCAAAATGTTCTTAAGTGTGTTACTCTTTCAGTACTAATTATTTCCTGTCTTAATATCAGTAAACTTTTCACTCATGAAAAAAAAATGTGAGCAAAATGTAGGCTATAAACAAGTAATAAATGAAGTTTTAACCCCTTAAAGTGGCGACCCACTGAGAGGCTTTGGCGCCCCCTTGTGGGGGTCGGGACCCCAGGTTGGGAACCACTGTTTTAGATAACAACTGAGGAAATATACAGACGAGCTCCACATTAATACAAACAGACGTGGCTTCACATATAAGAAATGCTCTATTGTTTGTCAGTCCGATGTTGGTTTTATGCAGTTTCACATTCTTTACAAAACAAAGATAATATGGTGTTTTATTAACAAATTACAACTATAAAGAAAACATTTAGGTGTTAACAAACAAGAATTTATTAACAAAACTGCTGATGTCTTTCCAAAACATGTGTGAAAGCCGAGTAGATGTGCAGTAATGTGACGCCATCGGCAGTCGAAGGACCCCGAGCCGATCCAGCACCGACACCGGCTCTAATGGTGGCAAACAGCTAAACAGAGCAGATTTCAGGCTTTACTTTAACAACACTAAAATAAACAAAGGGTATCTGCTGTGATGGGATGGAGCATTATGGACACAGGAAGTCCCCCTTTGTTTTCATTTTGATATGAAACTGCTGTTAAAGTATCGCCCTAAGATGTTGACCAAGACCATATATTTTTTATAAGATGCACTCAGACACACGGAGAACCTGCTGACCTCCGCTCCGTGACGGGCTTTGTTGTAGCCGTCCAACACCACGTCTATGAGAGAGCTCAGGCTGTCTCCGAACACACAGTGGGAGTTTCGGAGCTGCAGCAGCCAGGTCCGAAACCTTTTCCCGGTCACGGCGGAGGGTGTCCCGCCCAGTTCGCGGAAAGGAAACTCTAAAGAAGTCGGAGGCGCTAGCGTGATTATGAGAAGGATTGTGCGAAACTGCATTTTAAATAAATAAATAATTATTACCAGTGTCTCTGATTGCATCCAGCGCTTTCATCCTGTACAGGTGGTCATGGGAACCTGCAGCGTGCACACAGCCCCGCACCGTGTTAGTATACAGACAGCACTCACGTGGAGGTTGTGTGCGAGTCGTGCGCTCCTCTCACCAGATCCTTCCCTCTGCTGCAGTCGGACGTCATCTGGACACAACAAGCGAGGCTCAAACTGGATGTTTTGGACCTGAAACAGTTTGGCTTCAATCTCTTGTCTCAGCTCCTGCAACACAAAAAAACAACCATCATTAAGATTTTCTAAATTATAGTTAAACAAGACTTAGTAGGAGCGAGTTTTCGACCTTGGGAGCGTTGTGGCCAATGGGAACGTGCGGCCCTCTTCGAGACTTCATGGCAAGACGCATGATTTGTCTCTTGATGAACAGGAAGAGCAAAACAAACACCTGGGGAAGTTTAACAGTTAGGTTAGTGTTTTAGGCACGTTTGAACTGGGATTAACCACAACATGGGTGTGGATGTGGGGGTCCCCTCCAGACGCAACAACAAAGGCCCTGTCAGCACACACGCCACACCTTTCTGCTCCACCTGCACCAGTTAATCCACCCCCTCTGAAAATAGGTTCCTATTTTCATTTGAATTATTTGTTATTTTAGATTTCATTCTTAAATACCTGTGACTGCTTATGCAGCTGTTTACCAACAAGCATCTGCAGGTCACATCAGCTGATGCTTTAACATTCTGGGAGACTAGAGTGAATATTTAAAGTCAGATTAATTATTTTGATTAGATATATCGGCGTCAATATCGGTATCAGACGATTTTTAACGTATCGGTTCGATAAATAAAACAGGGCTGATATTAACAACCGATATTTTTTCCATCTCATCTTGATTTCTTTGCCTGTTTCAGAGGATGGGGGGGGGGGTCTAATTATTTAGTCATGTGAACAGTGAATGAAATTCTTAGGTGTGTTCTTGCTGTGTCTTTCTAATTCCATGCTTTCGTTCTTTTTAAACACAGAAACAGTTTTGTTTACCTGTTTGTAGCTACAGTTTCGCCGACGGCTGCCGGCTTCTTCAGGCTGACGCTGATGGTGGCGCGTCACTTCCTTCTCCGTTTATCTGCGGGCAGCAGAGGACGTTGTCGCCCTCTACTGCCCGCTCTCCCCTCTCCGACGATGCAGTCCCATGCGTGGTCCAGCGTGTAAACTCCGTCGTCCCTGTTCATGGTCCCACATCCACGTCTCCTTATCTCGATTGCTTCCTTGATCCATCTTTTGTATATTTGTTGTTCGGTGGTTATGATCCGTGTGCTGTCCCAGTCCATTATATGGTTTTCTCTTAAGCAATGATCTGTTACGGCTGACTTTTTTATTGTACTTTCTGCTTCTTCTTTTGCTGCTCTTGTGTGTTTACAACCCAAAAAAAGAACCAGAAACCCAGAAAGACAAGAACCAAAACCAGTGATAACCCTACCATACATCAGAGGCATAACGGAAAAAATAAGAGCAACAATGAAAAAACACAACATAAACACACCAACAAAGCCATACACAACAGTTAGAAACAGACTAGTACACCCAAAAGACAAAATATCAGCTGGACTTAAATGTGGAGTCGTTTACGAAATCCCATGCAAAATATGCAATAAAACATACATAGGAGAAACCGGACGCCAACTCAATACACGGACAATAGAACACAGAAAGGAGTGCGAGAAAGAGGCAAATCGTAAACACACAAGAGCAGCAAAAGAAGAAGCAGAAAGTACAATAAAAAAAGTCAGCCGTAACAGATCATTGCTTAAGAGAAAACCATATAATGGACTGGGACAGCACACGGATCATAACCACCGAACAACAAAAATACAAAAGATGGATCAAGGAAGCAATAGAGATAAGGAGACGTGGATGTGGGACCATGAACAGGGACGACGGAGTTTACACGCTGGACCACGCATGGGACTGCATCGTCGGAGAGGGGAGAGCGGGCAGTAGAGGGCGACAACGTCCTCTGCTGCCCGCAGATAAACGGAGAAGGAAGTGACGCGCCACCATCAGCGTCAGCCTGAAGAAGCCGGCAGCCGTCGGCGAAACTGTAGCTACAAAACAGGTAAACAAACTGTTTCTGTGTTTAAAAAGAACGAAAGCATGGAGTGAATGAAATTATCTCAGAACCGAAAAGTGTGTGTTGTGTGTTCATAATAACGTAAATTCAGCTTTAATAATTTTCATTCTATACAAAATCTGCAGACTTTACAAGCATTACTGTCAGTATATCGGTATCGGCAAATATTAGTTTTTCGCCATAACAGTGATCTTCAATTCAATTCAAAAATACTTTATTAATCCCAGAGGGAAACTGATTGCTGTAGTAGCTCAGAATGATAATCAATCGGATGTAGGTATCGGCCCAAATTTTTCATGTCGGTGCATCACCAATTTTGAGCTGTACAATAATTAAGTATCGTGTTCAGAAAGAAATTCATTTATTACGATTTTAAATGATAAAAACCACGAGTGTTTCAATAGAACAAGACAACACGCCTGAAGTGGGATTATTGTTGCTCTGAATGAGTAAAATTTATTCTCGGTTTGGTCTAAACTCACCAGGCTGCCGTAGGCCATCACGAGAATCACGTTAACGCCTGACAGAATCCCCTCGTTCTCCATGGTGGAGCGCGGAAGCAACACGCTAACAACAAACTCGCTGCTCGGCTAGTTTCCGGTTCACATGTGGCCACATCTGGGTTCGTGTGGCCAAAGCGAATCCTGCTGGCAGTAAGAGAAAAATGTAAAAGAAGAAAATTCGGCATAAAAAGAGAAGAAGAAAAAGGCGGCTGCTACATTCCGCTGCCTCGTTTGTTGACTTCCGTGATGGTCACGTGACTGGTACGGACTTCTGCTTTCACCGCCTTTACGGCAAGCCATTGTCATATATAATTTCCCAACGCTGACGTATTCATTTCGGTAATGTACTTTTTGGTGGTAATGCTGGTCTTGTCGGTCGTTTCAAGGTTTTATGCATTTATTTTTCTCATGTCTAATTAAATATGTTTCAGGTAAATGTTGTTTAGTTCTTCAAAAACAATAGAAACGTTTCCATCTGCTGTGTAGCGTTGTATCATTTCAGCCTTTCCCCCGTCTGTAAAAGATACTCTGACCCATAGCAGTAATTTCCAAATTACACATATAAAACAAATAACCACACTTTGTTTTTATTAGAAACAATCACATTCTTGTGGCCCACACTATGATAAATGATAATAATAAACGACCTTCACTTAAAACATTTGCAACATACAAATGTTGAATATAAAGGCACGATTGTCATTAAATGTATGTTTTAATTAGGCTGAGCTGAACATCTGATTTGATGAGAGTATTACATGTTAAATCAGCTTGCCATACAGGGGTTGTAAAAAATAGCAAAATAAAAAATAAGACAAATGCTTCAATTCCAAATACATGCATGATTTTTGAAAGGAAAAAAGAAAGAATTTTAATATTCTGCTTTATACAATTTGAATGCACGATTCCTAATTGTTTACATTATTTCTGTCTGTTTACTTTGTGTTCCCTGGCACCAAACCACTCACAAACAATCAGAGCTGTCCCTTCACAAGATGCTCTGAGTCCTACACCCTAACTCAAGAATAAATTTAAAGCGAGTCAGAGCTTTATTTGCATCCATCTGCAGGGACACTTGAGTGCCATTCATCCGTCAGGAACAAGGGTGGGAGTCGAGTCTGGACTATTTTCCCCTACTCACATGCTTGACTCAGTCCGGATGGGCACCATCTACCAGGATATGCTGGCCTGTGATGCAAAAATTAAGACTTTATCATTTGGTGGTTTGGAATAATGTATAAAGGTGAGCTTAGATGGATGGTGACTGACAGACAGACGTGTGAAGCTCTTAGATTTAGTGCAACGGCAACCACCGTTTCCTCTACCTCAGCGGAAGACAAAACAGCAGGTGCATGCAAAATAAGCAACAGTTAGACGCTGAGCCTCGTCCTGCAGGCTACAACTGTAAGTTTTGTTTTCTCTTATTCAAAAAGATGAAGTTTGTTTTATTTCTTTTTCCCTATAGATCATTTTTATGTGCCATTTAACAACAAGAGCGTCTCATGGGCTCTGCGTTGCATGCCCGTGGCTCTGATCCCAATCAAGCGGTGTGGTGGGGCGGTGTTGTACGCGTGTTTGAGATGATCCGTGCTGTGGCTTCTCCCCCCCTTCAGTCACAAAACGCACATGTCACATTTTTGCAGGGAGAAAATGTGTGAGCAGGTTGTGAAGTCAGGAATGCAACCCTGTCAGGGGAAGAAAATAACAATGTGAAGGGAGGAGAGACAAAGGCTTATAGAGAGGCTGGCAGGGAAAGAAACGACGAGAGGATAAACCTGTGCAGCAGGTTTGCGTCGGCGTACGTATCCTTCATGCAAAGCTGATGGGAAGAAAAGAGGAGGCACAGGGAGGGAGCTGATGTCATTACCAGGCCCAACATCGTGGCTTTGGGCACGACCAGAAGTCTCACTCTGATAAGGTGGGATTTAGCGGGGTGGGGGTTTTAAAGGGACTGAATTCATATGCTTTCTGTCTTTGTTTTGCGTTGTTTACCGGAGGTTGCCTGGGTTACACACGGCGTTATGAGAACAGGTGTTTCTGTAAACCGACACCTGTGTCTCCTACTCACATATAGTCTTAATAAGATGATTTAAAACTCGAGTAGAATCACAATAAACCGAAGGATGCTTTGATCTTTTGCAGACGTGGTGGTTTTTAACACTTCAAACCTCCGTTTGGACGCTGTGGATTCAGTCTTTGTCCGTCAGCAGAGCGTCGTGTTTGCCTCATCAGTTTGTGTGAAAATCAAAGTGGCTTCCCCCTTTTTGTTGTTCTGCTTCTGTCAGCTGATTCCACCTGGATGCACCGACCCACGCTTTCTGTCCTTGCTTTGGTCCCGTGAGACAGAGACGCCGTCCACGCAGGCGGGTAGCGGTGATTCAAACCCTTGTTTTTAGTTTGGTGGATTGCTGTCGGGTGAGTCTTTCCTGTTTTAGCTTCAGGTTTAGCTGACAGGTAGCCCTGAGAATGTCACTTGTGTAAACAGACGTCGCAGTACGTGACAGGAGCAGAGCCACTGGCTGAACGTGCCCTTTCAGAGGGACGGGGACTTCAGGACGGCGGAATAACGTGGGCTCTTACCACACTGTAGGTCCGGTTTAAGCCAGTATCCCCTTCTTTGACAACGATGGTTCTGTTTGACATTTAAGAGTTACCGCTTTAACCTGATCTGTTCTGAGAATGGAAACGTGTGTTTTTATGCTCGGCAGGAAATGGGAACACGCTGAACCAAGCGTGGAAACTGGAGACGTCTCGGTGCAACAAATCCAGAAGAAGAAACAAACAACAAAGCAGATGATTCCAGGGAATATTTCCATTTTCAGCTGAGAGTCTCTTTGTTTGTGTTCCTGCAACAGTCACACACTGTTTGCTCTCAGATGGAGTGTTTCCGTAGTCTGGACTAAACGACGAGCTCCAGGGTCGCTTCTTTGTTCTCGTTTGGGGATTTCGAACCTGGCAGAAGGTCAATAAGTTTAATTCTGCTCTCGTAAAATGGACTTGTCTTTGCTCGCTGCTGCATCAAGTGAAAACGGCACACGGGGGACAGGTGCGTGCTTCACCGTCCGCTCAGCCAGCCCTCCCTCATTCAGTTTCACTCGCAGGTCGGGCGTTCGGAGGAGGGAGACCGCCAAAGGTGTCAGAGAAGAAGATAAATGTGGCACGCGTTCAGGCCCAGATCGTGCTGAGGACATGAGAGTCGAAGAGAAAGATGCATCAGGTCATCAGATGTCAGCAAAACCAAACCAGAATGGAACAGCACCAGAGAACGGCGCTGACGGGGAAGCGGACGCTGTTTTTGAAAACCGAGGGAGGACACACGTGTGGAAGTCGTACCTACCGAGCAGAAGTCAGAGTTTAGACTGGAGATCAGAGGCAAGGAGCCCAGTTCAGAGCACCAGGACTGATCAGGAGTCAGTTAAAGGACAAACAGACTTCAGTAAACAGGTGGGAAGTTTAAAAGAAAGGAGGTTCGAAACTGGAGTCGGTCCGACAGGAAGAGGGACTCCTGCCGATTACAGCAACCTGACTTTGGACTGGACCAGCAAAGTTCATTCACTCCCTTCCAGGTTTAGATCCGAGCCCGGCTCAAAGTCTGCAGAGAACCCATTTGGACCCAAAGGTGGTCGGAGCATCCAGGAGCGAATACAGAAACTTTACAAGTCGGCCGGAGAGAAGACAGAAGGGGGGACCTTTCCCCGGCGGTTCTCATCAGGTGACAAGCACAGTCCGGTCCAAAACAGGGCGTCTTTCATCTGGACTCAAAGCAACACTTGGTGGTCTGGGAGTTTGGATTCTTCTGAACCAAAAAACCCAAAAGAGACATCCGCAGCGAGGCAGCGACCGCTCGGCAGCTTGTTTTCAGAGCATTTCGATTACTGGGAGAAGGAGGAGTTGGAACTGGGCACAAAGTCTCTGGACAGAGCAAGAAGTAGGAACACCAAAGCAGCTCAGATCAGATCTGCCAGGACTGTAGGGGAGGTTTCTGGATCCACATGGCCACAACCGGCTTCAGATGAGACTTCATCTAGAAGCAGAGGGAGAACATCAAGCTTAAACCCAGAAATACTCAACGTGCAAGGAAAGGACGATGAAGGAGCAAATGCATTAACTACGCAGAGGAGTGTTGCAGCCGACGAAGATGTGTTTGAGGCAGATTCTCAGAAAATCACCATGAAAGCAGCAGACAGGAGCCCGCTTCCAGAGAAGCTGTCGTCCTCTTCTTCAGCCGGCGTGAGAAATAAGATCAGTCAGTTTGAGGCGCTGACGCAGAAAGCAACAAGCCAATCGCAGATGCCCAGACGGACGTTTTCTGTGCCGGCAGGGCTCCACAGAGGCTACGGCGGCGTAAAGAAGAGCGAGTCGGTAAAAGAAATAGGCAGGAAAAGGGACCGGTGGGAGGAGATGAAAGAGGGAGAGAATAAAACGACAGAAATGGGAAAGAAAATCTTCCCAGTCAGGTCCTTATCGGTGGACGAAGTTGGACTAAGATTAGGGAAGACCGGGTCAGAACAAAGTCGCTCGGGAGGCAAAGACAAAAATGACTTCTCGGTGGATTTTGACAAATACTCTAGAGCCAAGAAAACGTTGCACATCCCTCTGAATGAAGAAACTCGAACGAACAAAAGAACGTTTTACTTTGACGAGACAGACTTCGGTCTCGAGGACAAGAGCAAGAATAACACACCAACCACCAGCGCGCCATCTTCGTTTGGCATTTTCTCATCAGTCAGAGGTGGAGACCAGACTCCAACTAACATCCCCGATGACTTCGTTTTTGGTCCACAGCCAAAAGACGGCCCTTCTGCCGCAGACAGCAAAAACAAAAGGACTTCTGGAATCAACGTAGACACAACTGAAGAAACCAACTCTTCTCATCTCCCTCCTGGCGTTTCCTACCACATCTCAGGCATCAGCACGACCCAGGGATGCAACGCCAAGGAGGATGTTCCCACTCTGCTTCCTGCCTCCGACTCGGAAAGCAGCACGCCTGACGTCTTCCGTCCAGATGTTAAAACAGACCACCGGAAAGGAAAGAAGCAGCTGATGGACCTGAGTGCATGGGTGGCCAGTCTGAACCCAGAGTATCAGTCTCTGAATGACTGCATTGGTCATTATGAGGACGATGATCAAAGCACTCAGAAGGACGATGATTCTGACTCTGGGGATTCCTCTGTGACCATCACCAGTAGCACGAGCCAATCAGATCGCAGGAGCTTCAGTATAAGGTGGGTTTAAACGGTCAGGTGATTCAAGCAGCTGGTTGTTTCTAATCTTCCTTTTCCTCGCCCAGCCTCTCGGACCTGTGTAACTTTTCTGGTGTTGAGTGTGAATCGGAAAACAACGCGGCTGACTGGGAGGTACATACTGGGCGCACCACCTCCATGAGCTCGGATATGTCGACCTTCTCCTGCGTGTCGCTGTTGCCCACCGAGGAGCTCGATCAGCTGCTGGAAGACGTCAGGAGTCTGGGGGACGAAACTCTGCAGGTACGGCAACAGCCACGCAGCCTCATATAACATTTAATTACATTTTGCTGTGCTGCTGGTTCTTCTGCCGTGTCGGGATTACAAAATACCCACAATATTAGTTTATGTGCAAACTAGCTTTAGTAGCTAGCAGCTTTATTTAGCCGGGGTCTGTAGCACGACGCCATCAAGGAGAGCTGGTGCCACGCCTTGTTTTGTGCACGTGTACACAAATAGCCTCGGAGCACTACAAGTGATGTTTTCAATATGTCCCTGCTCAGATTCTAGCTGCTGAATTATCTCCTCCGCCTTCGTCAGGTTCTGCAGGAGCTGCTAACCACTCGTTCGTTTTAATCACGTCTGCAGAATTCTAGCAGGAAAACATTTTAAACCAGCACTCATAGCACACCCTGCTAACGCTACAACTGGCTACAACAATAGTCCGATGTAGCATAAGGTTGAACGCTACACTAATCATTTAGCTTCAATACACAAAAGACAAATCTCTTTCATTCCCTCCCTCCTCTTCCAGTTAGCTTTAAGTTTACAGACTCACATTATTTCACTGCAGGGAGGGTGCTAGTTTAGAAGATGCTTTCTGAAGAGCAGGGTCTTCAGGAGTTTCTTGAAAATCGAAAAGGAAGCCCCTGTTCTGGTAGTGCTTGGTAGGTCATTCCACATTTGTGGAACGATGCATGAGAAGAGTCTGGATCGTCCTGAGCGTGGTGTAGGCACTGCTAGCCGACCATCCTTTGATGATCGTAGCAGTCGGGCCGTGATGAAAGCCTTTGCAAGAGGATTCAGGTAGATGGGAGCCGTACCATCTCAGACTTTGTATGCTAGTGTTAGCAATTTGAATTAGATGCATGCTGCTAGCGGTAGCCAGTGGAGCTCAATGAACAGAGGGGTGACGTGTGCTCTTTTTGGCTGGTTGAAGACCAGACGCGCCGCTGCGTTCTGGACCATTTGAAGAGGTCTCACAGTACAGCCTGGAAGACCAGTTAGAAGGGCGTTGCAGTAATCGAGGCGGGAGATGACAGTAGATTGCACCAGGAGCTGGGTGGCATGTTGTGTTAGGTATGGTCTGATCTTTCGTATGTTATACAGCGCAAAGCGGCATGAACGAGCAACAGACATGATGCGCCATTGGGCGCTGAAGAGTGTAACAGCATTGCTGCCATATTGGATCCGTTCCTCACTCTCCAAACCTAAGAGAAAACCCAGATTGAGCAACGATGCCTGTTTTTTTTTTTTTTTGTGCCACCTGCAGTTGCAACAGCTATTGGCTTTTCTAGCCTACCTGTTGGTTCCACCATAAAATGTGTTGTTTTGGGGTTTTGTTGTTGGGTAAACACATTCCTCAGCTTAAATAAACGCACTTGGGGCAAATGGGGACCCATCCAAGATGGCGGCCAACCACTACAGCAGTTCCAGTAGGCTGCGCCAGTCCACAAGGTGTCTATGTATATAATGTCTGTTGTCTGCCCCCCCCCACCCCCCCACCCACCCCCCCACCCACCCCCCCACCCCCCACACCCGTTGATTGACAGCTTCCTCTTGTGGATACTCTCAACTCTATTGATCAATGCTCTAGACTCGCGTGAAGGATCTGTTTTGCTGTAGAGGCCAGGGGAGGGGCTTATTTATAAGAAAGATGACCTTCTTGATGTCTCAGTCAGGGTCACATTTAAGCATTCTTGATGTAACTTATATTTTAAACTACGTACTGCAATTGTACTCTAAAATAAACAAAAGACGAACCATTCCAAAAAACGAAGACGAAACGTCGAAAGATTAACAACTGGATGAAACACGACCCTTCCAGGTCGGATCACACCACAATGGAGGAAAGAGACTCGATGGAAAAACTCTTTCTGTTCTGTTTTCTTTTGTTGTCGGTGAACAAGGGATTAAATGAAGATTAGACTCAATCCAGCTTGTTGTCTGCACAGTTTAAAAACCAGCATTCGTGATGCTTCTCTCATCAAACAGGTGTTTTTCCGACCAAGCCACATTCCACTGAGAGTCCACCTGCCACACATTTCCACACAGGTTACAGGTTGAACTCCTTTGGTTGGGAAAAATGAATAAACTATGTTTAAACTGAACTAAAAGTCTCGGTGGACTCTGGAGCTAATCACAGGGGACGTCACACGTGGACACAATGCATGAAATCTAACCCATCTTTCTGTTTCAGGACTATAATGAAGTCCAGGTGGTGGTTCTCCATAAGGAGGAGGGAGTCGGACTGGGCTTCAGTCTGGCAGGAGGTGTGGACCAAAACAAACCCATCACTGTGAGGAAACGCTCCGTTGTTCCTCTGCTGATGAACGTTGAATTGTTTCTTCAACTCTTTTGTTTCTTCTCAGGTTCACAAAGTGTTTCCCTCAGGTGTTGCAGCGCAGGAGGGCTCAGTGAGGGAAGGCTATCAGGTTTTGTCTATTAATGGCACCGCGCTGTCTGGGACCGCCCACTCTGAGGCTCTAAGGGTTCTGAGGAAGGCGAAGGCTCGGGATATGGCGGTGGTGGTCCTGAAGAGGGGTGGTGACGGGGGGGCCTCTGTGAAGGGGGTGCAGAAAGAAGATAAGTGTGCAGACGTTCGACAGGAAACAGGTGAGAGGTGATGCTTTATCAACCAATCCAAAAACATTCCCGAAGCAGCAGTTTAACCTCAGATGTGTTGTTTTCCGGCACTCAAAGGTCAGCGTGTGTGCATGCAGCTGCAGAAGATCGGCAGGGATCTGGGCTTCAGCCTGCAGGGAGGAGTGGGCTCTAGTGAGGGCAACAGACCGCTCACCATCCAGAAGATATTCCAGGGTGAGTAGAAAAACAGTCAGAGCTTCAATTATTCACAGAAACTCCCAAATTTAGGATTTGCTATGGATGCATGTATAGATCAATTATTTCAGGCTTAGTAAACGTTGGGAGATGCTTCTCATATCTACGAGCTGTTGTGGATGGACCAATAGCATACTTTACTCAAAACACCAAAACATCATCATATTCAGTTAAATGACCATAAACAAACATTGACTTTGAGGAATTCTTGCCTGTCGGGATGAAGAAACTGGACTAAAAGGGAAAACTCTCTTATTGCTGGCCCATCAGCCAGAGAGACGAGGATCTCCATCATCCAGGGGGAAGTGGAAGATGCTCCTCCTCATCAAAAGGATTCAGCTGAGGTGGTTTAATAATCTGACCTGGATACTTCATCAGAGAACTTTTCCAGGTTCTAACTAGAACATCTGACTGGATCTAACTCTTCTCTGGGATCTCTGGATAGAGGGATGTCTGGGTTTCCTCCATCCGTTGCCACGGTTAGGGTTCGTTACCACGGTCACCTGACCTGAATAAAAGTAGATCAATGAATGAAGCAGGATTAAAAGTCATACCTGCATGTATTTAAATAAAATTAAATGAGTAACTTTTTCCGTTATTATCAACAACACATTCATATTTTGTTAGTTTAACTTAAATGTGTTCATTCAGAGGCTGTTCTTTTGTCTCTCCCTTTAGGAGGACCTGTTGATAAGGTATTTCCTGGTGATGAGGTTTTAGAAATTAAAGGCACTAGCTTGTTGGCCATGAGACGTCTGGAGGTCTGGACTTTCATCAGAGGTCTTCCGCCTGGACCTGTGGAGGTGGTGCTGCGGCGCCCTCTTCTACATCAGCAGACATGAGGATTAGAAAAGAAGCTGTTCGCTGCCTGCAGAGGAAGACGCACCGCTGCTTTAAGGCCCGGGTGCAGCCAGCAGATCCACCTTAAGACACTCAGAAACAAGCGTTTGCTTTTCTCTCACTTCCACTCTTTTGCAGAGTTACCCCGGCAACGTGAGCATCATTGCTACATAGCTTCAATGAAATACACAGACTGCTTAAAAATGCATCGAGTCAGCTAACATTTGAAGCAAACTGTCAGTGAGATAAGTAAAAAGATAGCACTTGCAAAATATC